ATATTGATACTTAAATATAGAACATACAAACAAAATATACACTTTCTCGACTTGGTTTTCGCGTAGAAAACTATCACGTCTACATTTTAACAAAAATTAAAAAAAAATAAAAAATGGGTTTTTTGAGAAAATCAATATCAAAAATGGTACTTTATAGTTTTCACATAACATTAACGTAAACGTACCGCAAAGAATATTTTATACAGCCGAGTTATTTTACAATACACATAAAGAACGTGTTTTGGGCTCTCCGTGGACATAAAAGTTATCGATGTAACCTAAGTAGATCGCCAGTAATTAATTGTCAAAGTTCGTCAACAACTGACCGAGGGGGCGTTTTCGACATTTTTACACAAAAAAAGCAAAACGCCTAAAATTATTTTATGGTATTGGAGCCTTTTAAATATGTCCACAGAGTGCTTGAAAAAAGATAATATAATGTGGACTGAAAATCCACGGCGGGAGATCAAGCGAAACATCCGACCCACGACGGGTGTGAAAAACACTGCTTTTCGCCGCGGCCTCTTTAAAAATTCATAAGTCGAGAACAAAAAATCCGACGAACTTGCGGTTTGTGGCGACTGCGTTTTTAGAAACGGCGCCATAACATATATTTTTTTTCGTAGAAATTAAAAATTCGACCCTTTTTGCCTGCACGATTTGAGATGAAACCACCCATAAATATACAAGGTGATTCAAGGAGGCGCCAGGCTCTTTAAATCGACCGCAAAATGGTGCATTTTTTGTGAAATTTGCAAAGAGCGAACTTACCTGAGGAAAAAGAAAAAGAAGAAAAAGGTTTAGCTCCTATGGAAATGCAGCGACGCCACCGGTCTTCAAACAACACGGCATCGTTTCGCACTGGAGACAAGAGATGGCGCAAGTGGTCGCGACGCCAACTGCCGCCAGCGAACGAGCATACGACACCGAGAGCCGGCGTCTTTAGCGGACAAGGAACTGCAGTTCCTTGTTGTTACCGCGCCTGTTTTTGTTTCTGCGACTGTCGCCGCCTGCGGAACGCGCGCCGCTTTTGAGTCGATTCAGCCGAAAAGATTGTCTGCTAAAGACGCCGGCTCTCGGCTCCGTATGCTCGTTCGTTGGCGGCGTTCGTCTATATATATATATATATATATATATATATATATAAGGAGGAAGGAGTATATACATATACTCTTATTGCTCGGGAGGTTTAAGAAAAGAATCGCAAGGATCGGACGGTTACCTTGGTATGCGAAACATTTTGTCTGAGGATGAATTCTCAGGACCCTAACTAGCCAAGGCGTTGGTGAGTATGTCCATCAAGTTAAAAACCAAAAAATATATAAAAAAAATGTAATGAGAAGCATTTGAGTGAAATGTTCGCTAATCCATGCACGTTTTGCTGAATGAACAAAAAACAAAAACGGTGCCTCTCACAAAAAACGCGATTCACTTGTATTCAATTACATATTATGTGGCAGTGTTATCATCCAAGTGTTCGTCATTCGGGATCTTGGAATCTTTTTTATTCATCCTTAAATTTTAATTCTGACGTTTTAAGTATCTGCAACATCATTTTAAAAACCTTAGGGGGATGTCTCGTTTCACAAGACAAATTTCTTGTGCGTTTATTTTGTTTACTTGTGCACCCGAAGCTGGAGTATATGCATCTTCTGAATGGAATACCATTAATCTCACTGCATCGTACTCTATTGAGCGTGTCCAAGAATGCGTCATGGGCATAATTTAAGACAGGTATTTTGACGGCATTAGTTATTGTAACCATGAACAATTATATAAAGAAAACTTGGTTCTGTACTTTGCTTGACAGAAGATGAAGATGATTACGTAGTTATATGTTTTTACATAAGGTTGTGAGCGGTGCCGTTAACTCACCACTTTTGTTAAGCACTGTCTGTCTTCATGCTCCCTTGCGGTTCAATCGATTTCAGAGTCGTTTTTACGCTTCTGTTTTGAATGAGACGACACCACAAACAAGAATGCAACTTTAATTCAACAAGCTGAATCTATATGTTGTTGATTTTTAGCGATGCGATTGTTTTTCGAAATAGGCATGACTCATTTATTTGTATATAGTTATAACCTTGCTCTTTTGCCTGCATTTATTTTTTAGGCGAGCTGTGTACCACTATTTAGGCCTTGTGCTCTTTTTCTGCAGCAAACAAAATCAAGGTTAATATTATTATTTATATATAACAAATTGCTACCAAACCTTACAACTTACTACATGTACTCAAGCACCTGAAGTTCACAAGTTGAGAAAAAATGAAAGAAAGAACCTTCTTTCCTCCGGTGCACCTCAGCCAACTAAACGTCCCAGGGTCAGAGGTACACCATGGTCAGAAGACAGAAGGAAACAACTTACTGTACTCCAGTGAACCTTTTTTATATATCAATAAGGTGGAGAATAAAGAGGTGTTCGGTAACCTTTTTATGTTTTAACCTTTTTAATCTCAGCATTTTTTGTCTTAAGTGTCGCGGTTCCTCCTTACTCTGACTTGGCGGTTGAACTACGTCATTTGCTGCGGTCGTTATCGCACTGCAATTACTTATATCGAGTATCTTCAAATTATTACTTTAGCAGTTTTTAAAAGCACCCGAGTAGGTACGAGGAAGCCCTTTTCCCACTTCTCTTGACCCGCGTTAAGAAAAAAAAAGAAGAAAGAAAACGAAGCCAAACGCTTTTTGATTGCTAAAGCGGAAAAGGGCCGTGACAAGCTTCGCATCGGGCATCGGGCATATTTATGACGCCTGCGCTTTCACACATAGCAATTGAACGCACTACTCTGAGTGATATCATATATCTTGGATTTATCCCGATTTAATACCTTATGTGGCACATCTCGCTGTTGATGATGTAATGAACAGGTTAATTTGGGATAATCCAAGGATATATTTATTTAACTGTTTAGGTTACAATCTGTTGGTGTTACGAGAAGCGTCTTTCTTAGTCTGCGACCGCGTTCAGTCTGTGACTTCCAGGCGTCGCGTGCTTCTCCGAGGCACGCCGCTCAGCTCTCCCCTGCCGGTGTCTCCAGTTCCATCCTCCATTCTTTAAGCTCAACAGAACGCGTTCGCAATACGTGGCGAACACGCACATAATACACGGGAGGTGACCCTTCAAATATCTGCTAACCGTCACTCATTCCTTTCCTGACATTTTACGACGCAAGGACCTGTTATTATTTCACGATATTCCACCGGTCTTCAAACCATAGGGCACCATATGGTATGAAGACCGGTGGCTTCGGTGCGTTTCTATAGGAGTTAAGCCTTTTCATTTTTCTACTTTTTTCTCATGTAAGCTCGCTCTTTGCGAATTTTATAGAAAGAATGCACCACCTGGTGGCCAATGCTGCACGAAATCGTAACGCGGTATGTTAGAAACCGAATTTTGCGGTCGATTTAAAGAGCCTGGCCGCTCCTTGAATCAACCAGTATAGTTTATTTTGTTTTGTTTTATATGCAGATGACGCCGCGTTGAACTCACCTTTTTTTCTTAGCGACTGGAAGCTGTGGACATTTTTTTTGACCGGTCTAAACTGGTTTACACTTGGTGGAACCGGTAACCGAACCGTTATTTCAAAAGCAAAAGTGAACCAGAATCAAACCTGAATCAAATGCAATGCTACTGAACCCGAACCAAACCTGAGTAATGACCGGTTCGACTCTCTGCTTTTAACTCAGCCGATGTTCTAGCACTTGCGGGGAACACAAATAAATAATTGGATTAAATATGTCAGTAAATCGCAAGAATCGTACAGCAAGCGTAAAAGTTTACGTTTTAAGGCAGGTTCCATAATATGCTGCTACACTCCTTGGGCAGTGTGAAGGCGCCGTATGCCGATTACACTTTGTCATTGCTTTTCTCTTCTCGCCGCAGTACGTGGAGATTTGGGGCCAGTATACGCGGCGTCGCTTCTAACAGCGTACTAGTGGTGCTCTTGTGCAAGTTTTCCAAGCAGAGAACAAGGTTGCTTCATATTTCACCGCGCACTAACTAGACATTTTAAAAGCCTTATCAAACAAAAACACGCTGAACATGTATATGTTGAGAATATACGGTGAAACTATACTTATTGGTGAAACTACTTATTACTTTCCCCGGAGCAATGATCCAATAGCCGGTACAGAGTTAGCAGGTGAGCGGAATTCCATGCTAGAAGACGACTAGTGGTAGAGGTACATGGGCCAACGCGGACCCCTTTGGCCAAGAAGCAGAGACAAGGACTGACTTTTCATTCAGATTTATTCAAACATAGATCCACACAGCAGAACTGTACGTTGTCTAGAACGCTTCTCCCACTGATGCGTTTAGCGCGCTATTCCGCCCGTCCATCAAAATATGCATGGATGTTGCAACAAATGACGTCATAAAAGTCGGAGTGTCACGCTGTCGGATGTCGCGATACCGGCGGTTGGTCATAGGAATGCTGGCGTGAGTGCCGCTGTCGTCGCGGCATCCCAACTGCTGGCTGCCGAAGCTTCCGTGGATTGTAGAGCTGGAGAGTTACTTGCAGGAAAACACACGAGTCTGTCCCATATATCTTCGCTGCTGTGACGCAGCCATGATCGTGTTCAGCGACAGCATGACAGTTCTAAGACCTTAGCAGGTGGAAATTGAAGGACCACTTTTATTGAATGCGCTTAACACGCCAGTCGCAGACGCATTCCAGGCACCATAGCAGAACGGCAGCTTGTGCGCAATCCCGAGCTTAAATGGGAAGAAACAGAGCCCCCCCCCCCCCCCCCCCTTCCAGCAGTTGCACCCCAAACTACTACAACCTAAAAATCAAATATACTAGAGTATACTTCCGACTTCAAACATAAAGCTCGTACCGACATCCCTTGTGGGATGTCGGTACGAGCTTGTGGGATGTTGGTACGAGAATAAGCCTTTGAAGGCTTATTCGCTTACTCAGATGTTGGGCACAATACGGCGTGTTCACAATGGGGCTGCCGTAGGATGTTTTTGAATCCGAAATATCCCTTCACGGGCTCTACGTGTGGTCGTGCGCGGGATCATGGGGCGTTTCTGTTTTTGCTACGCAAGAACCAGGATCTCCGCTGAAGATGCTACCCGCCGGATCCTTTAGCTTGCACTCGTATCCTTCCTGGCAAAGGTCATCGTGGATTGTAATGCACGTTTCTCCGGGACACTGCAAAAATTAAATACCAAATTTTAGTATATCGCACATTATTTACCTCACACACGTTTGTTTCCGAAGATGTGTTCATCGGGGAGTCGCCTTTGATATTTTTAGCCCCGCTTCTTTTCGAAATGCGTGTATTATCACCCTAACATGTTTTCATTTTTCACTATGTTTCAATATTGTATAACATGCAAATTTAGAGTCAAATTTTTAAACACTCATACAAGTAAAGTTGCCAAACGAGCGCGTGGCGGAATGGTTACCGCGCTTGGCTAGCCTGTGGAGGCTCCGAGTTCGATTCCAGGGGGCGGACTCCTCTTTTATTTATTCTTTTAACTTTACATTCTCGTGAGTTTGAGAACCTTTTTCGTCTGATCGGAGTTACGAACGTTTTCTGCGCCGAACATTCCACGCCGAATGTTCCAGATACCCAAGCGGCTACAAAAGGTGCTCCACGTGGCCTTCCGCATTCAGTCTCGCCCCATCGTTCGATCCTGCTGTTTGGCCGCCATCGACGCCCGCGACGCTAGCCTTTCTTTATTTTGTTTTGGGCGCAAGTTCGCCCCATTCAACGTTTGGTTTGTGCCACTTTGCGTCGCCTCACCAATTGTAGTTAGTGACAATATAAACCCGTCTTCCTCGATATACTCATCAATGGAATTTCGCTAGTCACCTAAATAGGGGAGACATAGATATAGTTTATATACACATATTTTTTTTTAATTTTAGGCCAATATTTAGTTAGGCCTGTTATATTGAAAACAATTACAACAAACAAAACAGGTTAAAAACATACTCCAAAGTATTGACATTTTTCTTTTTTGGTGGACATTCGGCCAGACATTCCCTTTTAGTATAGATTAATAAAAAGAGTAAAGGATAAATTTGATACTAAGCACACGTCAATTAACTTCTATTTTAGTATAATACAACCTCAAAGAGAATATCTAAATAATTTTTTAACCAGTATACATTGCACATGCAACGTGTACACGTCCACTGGTGTGTGCAAGTATGTCTTCGTGTCATTGCATTTTTGGATTGGCAGTACATGACTGGAGTGTTTGTTTTTTTATTTATATTTTATATTTCCAACACTGAACTGCTTTAGCGGCCTCTAACATCCATAGTCCAGTGGCCAGGTCATTACGTGAAAGCAATGTAACGTACGTACGTCGAGGAGTGGGAGTGCCTCAGTATGCGTACTCACTAAAACGCCAGGAAGAGCGACCGCTGGAGGTAGAGGCGAAATTATATTTAAAAAAGAACAAAAAAAAAACAATCACGTTGTAACAGAAACATATAAGCATTACCATTCGCGCTGATTACAAAACCAGGTCGGAAGCCGTCGCAAACTAGCAGGAATCTTTTAGATCTGACTATTTATAAATATGAAGTAGCATCTTGGTTTTCATTATAATTTTTGCTACAGATATCGACAACTTAGAGTTGGAAGATTTGTCCACTAACTTTGAATAATTTACTGAAAAACGTCTTTCACATACTCTGCTATGCCTACTCAACTGTTCTACCAGTCACAATCCCATCGTGCAATCACTAACCATTAATAATCTAGGAAAAGCATTCGCAAATTTTTAAAACTCGTATTCGGCCGAACTGCTAGTAAATTGTGTCAAACCAGGTGTTCTCACTTTGGCTACGTCTTTATATTTTGATTTAATTCCGATCAAATTGTATGGCGTGTCAAACCAATATTTTTGTTTTTATTCTTTGTTTTCTTCTCAGGCTACTGTGTTTGTGCCATTTTAGGGGCCAGGGACCCGTCAATGTGTCTTGGAGCTTTTCACCCGGCCTCCCCTTTCACCAATGATGAAAAAAATAAAACTATTATTTCATTGTATTGTATTGTAGTGTATCGTATCTCGATATATTGCTCCTGGAGCCAAATGCACTTGCACCCCCGATGTGGGAGCTTTTACTGCGAGAGCAGTTAGTGGGACACTTCGCGTGTTTTGCGCCGTGGTCGGCGCTCCATATCGAGGTGGGCCAATTCACGGCACTCCGCTAAAACATTCTACATTCACGTCACGCCGCTGACATCACACCGCTCCACACAACTCTGACGTTACCTCAAATCACGTTGCATCGTTACGCACGCGACATAATGACGTTATGCGACACCGTAAGTCATCTGATGTCATGACGTCACGTGACAATACGTCGTCACGTGACTTCGTGACGGCGCGTAGAAAACATAAACATCAGACTGGTGATAATAGAAAGAATAAAAACAAAGCGCTTTCGGTTATTTGGCTAGAAAGGTTCTCGGGCGATAAAACCAATAAATCTTGGTGGGTGTCCACAAGGCGGTGTTAGTTCGTCTCCAATTACGTTGCATAAGACGTTCAGGCAGCCACATCAACGACGGGGAACGGTTCATGCATACACATGTAGTTTTGTCGTTCCCTCGTTTTCAAACTTGGGCGCGATCTTCGAAGTGTTCTGTAATTTCCAGAAGGCAGTCCCAGTTTATGTCCAGTAAAATTGTTTAACAGGCTCAAGAAATACTCGCTAGTCAATACACCCTTATTGGTTCCAAAACGCAATGCAATTTTCGTCCGGTGTGTTACTCGGTTTAATACAAAACGCCTATGCGGAATCTAGGGTGAGCGCTCGCACCTTTACCGTTCATTAAGTCCATCTGCTCCGAAATGACACCTTAGCGGCTAGGACGTCTCACCTCAGCTGTCGGAAGAGTCAGGGCACTTACGAGTTGCATAAGTACCCTGACTCTTCCATGCCCTGCCCAGAAGCCACGTCTTAAGAGTGCCTTACACCCACGCTTGAAAAACTGTTTGCATTATCTCCATAATACTAAAAGCTATAAACGAATTTAAATATGAGAGCCTTCCACAAGGAAAATACAGGGAAGTTAGGCGAACCACCATTTTATTGATAAATTGAGGTTTGCTAATTTTAAACACAATGTTCAGATACTATTTAAAACTCAAGTACCCTGTGTGCACAAGGCGAAATATACAGGGTGTCCACGAAAAAATGTTTTAGGTTTTTTTTTTTTCATTGCACATATTGCCGCGCGGCAAGTAGGCAGCGCGGACGTGGCCTAACGGTTATCGCGCTTGCCTCCCACGCGAAGGGCCAGGGTTCGATTCCTGGGAGCGGCGCATCTTTTTGTTTATTCCTGCAGACTAGCATTCTGGTAAATTCGAGAACCGTGTTTCTGATTCGAGATTAGAATGTTCTACGCGCCGAACCTTCTACGCCGAATGCTCCAGAAGCCCACGCGTGTACAAAAGCGGCTCCGCGTGGCAAGCCGGAGTCAGTCTCGCCCCAGCGTTCGACTCTGCTGCCACGCCGACTTCGACGCCCGCGACGCTCTATTATTATCATCTTTTGTTCTCTTTTATTTTTGGCACAAGTTCGCCACATTAAACGTTTATTTCTTCTTGTTTATTTATTGTTTCTGGTCACCACCGGTGACAATATAAAACAGGCATCGCCGAATGCTCATTCTCCTCCCAAATGTAGCGCCAAAGGTCCGAACCAGAAGTTTCAGAACTCACCAACAGTTATTTTTCTCAAAAGTTAAAAGTGATGTTCTGAAATTTTTAATTTCAAAATGGCGGCCGACGGAGCTTTCGAATGCATGGCTTTCTACGGCGCCAAAACCCAAAACGGACGAAAATGGGCACCTTTTTCCTATTGATATTTTTAGAAAATCACTTCTAGATTTTGAATAATATATCGGATTGTGCTTAAACTTTGGCACCTGGCTCGGACCTTTAGTGCTTCACTTTGGCGGAGAATAAGCGTTCTTGATGTATGTTTTACTCTTTCGTTTAAAAAAAAACACAAATTCTTTTGGGGCGACACACTGTACTACATAAACGAATGTAAGGCAATGCATGCTTGTACTAGACCTAGCCACTTCGGTGGCTACGAGACGGGCCTGAAGCCTCCTAGTTCACCGTTTTAATCTTTTTTATTTTTTTTTTAAGAAAATGTCAACGAATTTTTCCAAACCTTGTTGCAGATGTCACAGCAACCGCATTCGCTCTTGTGAGATCCACAGGTGCAGGTGGCAGACGAACATTCCACTTCGTCGCAGTCTACTTCTTTACAATTCAAGGGACTATTGGACAAAACACTGTTCCGTAAGAGATAAAAAAAAGATACATTATTTGTAAATTTTGCTGATGGAGATGTGAAACTAATAAATATATTTTTACATAATACTCTTAAAAGACCGCATTTGCACGTCTAATTTAAAGGTTAATAGGCAAATCACTAAATAAAAAGTTGAGAGAGGACGTTTTCAGTACATATGCGCAATTCCAATTTCATGCGCAGCATGCAGAAAATCAGGCTTTTTTAAGCTCTCTCGTGTACCTTCTTGTCATCCCCTTCGTACTTCGCATTTACGGTTAGTGCAAGCAAACAGTAATTGGGGTGGGCGTGCAGTGTTTGTTTTCATTCACACTCTACGGGAATTCCATCTTATTGACATACAAAATTCGTAAGAATCTTAAGAATTTTAAAAGCGATACCTTTAGTTGTTTGCTTATAAACAATAGTATTTTAAACTTCAATCACACTACAACAAGCGTATTGCTCCTTTCTACCACGGTAACCCCTGAAGAAGAGGTCGAACCGGCCTCGAAACGTTGGATCCCGCATTTAGGGCTTGGTTGGTCGTCCTTTTTTCTTAAAACAAGTGTATTGCTTTAAAGACCAGGGAAGCATGAAGCCTGAGTAGTGAAGTTTATACAACCTTTGAAACTTTGGGGTTTCGTTATCGTTTTGTTCTTCACCACTACATTAACAGTAGAGCACGCTGTAATCACTATAGGAGGTATTTCCAGTGCTGATGAGGGTCAAAGATATTTTTGCTCTGTTACACGTGTAACTACTGGCTGCATACGCAGATTCCCTGTCTTCTTTCATCGAATTCAGAGTCCCCAATTGTCAGGCTTGGTACTGCCTCATTTGAATCAACATTTCACATCATTCGCATTAAAAAAAGAAACTGCACCTGTTCCGTTTATACATGATTCTAAACCAGAAAGACTTGATGGTTTACCTCCTTGTCTTTATATCTTGCTCCCTTTCTCCTCCTCCCCTTCCACCACTTTGTTCATCATAGGTGATGCAGATTGACACTATGGTCACTATTTTGCTTAATTGTATGCCATGCTGGATGTTTGTCTCATATAACGATTCTCTTTTTATATCTAAACATCAATTTTCAGCTCAAGAAGTATAGAAAGCACTACGTTTGTTTTCTGCGTAAAACAAATTTGGGATTTTAATATTAGTTCTTATAAGCAGTACACATTTTCAAACTCACCCGACATTCACCACAACGACCACCAACAGTATCACCAGGGCAGTCTTCATCTCGAAATCTAGAGATCCGGCAATAATGTAGAAACGTTTAAAATACAATTTCTATAGTTACCGGCATACGTAGGAATGTCAATGTTTCGTCAGAGTTCATGAATACTTTTTAATCATAGACCTTCACTGCTCTTTTAATGAGTGTCATATAAGTATGCCTTGTTTCCATTGAACGAAATGAACAGTGGCTCTCAGGACAGATAAGCGATGGGGCATCCATTTTTTTTATATTATGCATTAGACCACTAGAAAAAACTTTGCATGTTTTATTATACATTTTTGAGGCGTATGTCAAAATATCACGAGGCAAATTTAAAATAAAAAAAATTAAAGGCACTAAACTTTGTATGCCGAGTTTTCCTTCTGACTGTGTAATCTTTCTTTCTAATCAAGTTGTCTTTCTGAATTAGCGCTGTGTCTGTGTTTTCGGTCCCCTGGTCCTCCGTCCTTTTGCGCTGTTTTTATACCACTTGAACCTGACCAGCTAACTAGCCCCACTATACACTTTGCTGCAGCTTTGCTTGTGGCCTACATGGACTCATATCGTCCCGAGATCGGTGCATTTCTATAGGCACTCACAGTTTCAAAAACGAATCCGAAAGCAAGAAACCTGAAAATAATTTTCAAGCCTTTAGCTTCGAAATTCCTTTTTTGCGTTTTTATCTGATGATTCCGCCATTTCACTGCCTCCAAGAAAAAAAAAAAAGGAAAAAAAAAAAAAAAGACGTTCGTGTTTACGCAGCCTAAGGTCCTTCGGCATTTGAGGTGTGGCTACACTTGTTTACGCCGTTCATGAGAAATTTAGCCAGTGCAGTACCGTACTGCTAGCCTGAAGGATTAAACATTCTACACGAAGTAGCGATACACGCTCGCACGCGAGTACGACACTCATCCAGATTGAAAGGACACGAATGGGGATTGCATGACCACGGCACCTTTAGGTTCTGCAGCGCGAGCTTTCGCTCTACGTGCTCCGAGCTGCGGTGCGCTAGCAGACTCTGCCACCGGCCGGTACCACCATTCCACTGGCTGCAGAGCAATATTGCCGCGCGCAAGGCTGAGAAAGCAACGCTCGGTCGCGGTCCTCCAGAAAGCTCCCGTTTATTCATGTACCGCCCGTAACTTCTATCATTTATCCTGCTTTTGTTTTCTAGAAAGTGCGTGTTCATTCTCGCCCCGATCACGCGACGCTCGAACCGTTTTCGCCGAATCTTCGAGATAGCGACGCACTCTAGATAAGAGGCCGCCCGCGACCTTGTCGAGTCAGTCTCGCCCCAGCGCTCGATTCTGCTGACACGCCGACTTCGACGCCCGCGACGCTCTGCTTTCTTCTGTTTCCTTCTTTATTTTTGGCACAAGTTCGCCACATTAAACGTTTATTTATTTCTGTTTATTTCTCGTTTATTGGTCACGAATCACCACCCGTGACATTCTGGTGGTCTCTTGTACGGCCGTGTTGTAGGCAAATGTGACGTACGGCAGCACCTCGTCCCATGTCTTGTGCTCCACGTCGACGTACATGGAGATCATGTCGGCGATGGTCTTGTTGAGTCTCTCTGTTAGCCCGTTGGTCTGCGGGTGGTACGCCGTGGTGCGGCGATGGCTGGTGTGGCTGAGACGAAGGACTTCTTGCGTCAGCTGGGCCATGAATGATGATCCACGGTCTGAGATCAGGACTTCGGGAGCGCCGTGCCGGAGGACGATGGATTCAATGAAAAACTTGGCAACTTCCACAGCAGTTCCGGAAGGAAGGGCTTTCGTTTCGGCATACCGCGTGAGATAATCTGTGGCGACGATGATCCAGCGATTTCCCGACGTCGACGGCGGAAAAGGGCCAAGTAGATCCATTCCGATCTGCTGGAAGGGTGCTGTTGGCGGAGGAATTGACTGCAAGAGTCCGGCCGGCCTCGTCGGAGGTTTCTTTCGTCGCTGGCATTCATGACATGATCGCGTGTACAGGTGGACGGTTTTGGGGAGCTTGGGCCAGTAATACTTTTCACGAATACGTGCCAGGGTCCGGCTGTAACCAAGGTGTCCGGACGTCGGGTCGTCGTGGCAGGCTTGGAAGATCTCCTCCCGAAGGTCGGTCGGGATTACCAGCAGCCATGGCGAGTTGTTGTTCCCGAAGTTCTCTTTGTAGAGTACACCTTGTCTAATGGCGAAGGTCGGCAGCGCTCGTGAAAAAACACGTGGCACGGTACTCCCGCGCCCTTCCAGGTGCTCTATTAGTGCGCGCAGCTCAGGATCGTCTCGTTGACGCCGGGCCATGTCGTCGATGTTCACTGCGCCCAGAAAACACTCGTCGTCATCGTCGTCGCTGCTGCCGGAAGGTGTTGCGACGGGAGCTCTGGACAGGCAGTCGGCGTCGCTGTGCTTGCGGCCTGACTTGTAGACGACGGTCATGTTGAACTCTTGTAGTCGGAGACTCCACCGCGCGAGGCGTCCTGACGGGTCCTTGAGGTTCGCAAGCCAGCAGAGCGAGTGGTGGTCCGTGACTACCCGGAACGGGCTCCCGTATAAGTACGGACGAAACTTCGTGATTGCCCAGACGACCGCAAGGCATTCTTTTTCAGTCGTGGAGTAATTTCTCTCCGCCTTGGTCAATGTCCGACTTGCGTAGGCGATGACTCGCTCGGTGCCTTCTTGTACTTGAACCAAAACCGCGCCAAGCCCTGCGTTACTTGCGTCCGTGTGAATCTCGGTTTCCGCATCCTGGTCGAAATGTCCAAGAACAGGAGGAGTCTGCAGTCGTCGCTTCAGCTCGTCAAATGCCTGCTGCTGTTCATCGGCCCATTCGAACTTCTCGGCGTCCTTCGTGAGGTGTGTGAGCGGTGCGGAAATTCTTGCGAAATCTCGAACGAAGCGCCGATAGTAGGCACATAGCCCAAGGAACCTTCGGACGGCCTTCTTGTCTCTTGGCGCTGGAAATGCTGCGACGGCACGAGTCTTCTCGGGGTCTGGGCGGACACCTTCGTTACTAACCACGTGGCCGAGGAACTTCAGTTCGTCATAAGCGAACCGACACTTTGACGGCTTCAGGGTGAGTCCGGCGGTCCGTATGGCTTGGAGAACTGCTCGGAGTCGTCGCAAGTGCTCGTCGAAGTCGCTGGAAAACACGACGACGTCGTCGAGGTAGACGAGACAGCTCTGCCACTTCAGTCCTGCCAGTATGGTGTCCATGACACGTTGGAAAGTTGCTGGCGCCGTGCACAGTCCGAAGGGCATCACTTTGAACTCGTACAGTCCATCCGGCGTGACGAAGGCTGTCTTTTCTCGGTCCCTTTCGTCGACTTCGATCTGCCAGTAGCCGCTCTTCAGGTCCATCGATGAGAAATATCGAGAGTGGCGCAGCCGGTCTAGAGTGTCGTCGATGCAGGGGAGTGGGTAGACGTCTTTCTTCGTCACCGTGTTCAGCTGCCGGTAGTCTACACAGAACCTAAGCGTCCCGTCTTTCTTCTTAACCAGTACGACTGGAGAGGCCCAAGGACTGCTTGAAGGTTGATTTATGTCGTCGTTCAGCATTTCTTGAACTTGCTCCTGGATCGCCTGCCTTTCCTTAACGGAGACTCTGTATGGCGATCGATGCACAGGGCGCGCGTCGTCCTCGGTAACGATGCGGTGCTTCGCAACGGTGGTTTGGCGCACCTTCGACGACGTGGCAAAGGAGTCGCGGTATTCTGCAAGAAGGTTAATCAACTGTCGTCGTTTCGGGCCCGGGAGTTTAGGGTCAATGTCGAGCTGCGCTGGCGACGCACTGTCTTGCTGAGGTGGCGAGAATTCGTCAGTAATGGCGGCGACAGCGGCGGAGTTTTGGAGTTCCTCGACCTGGCCCACGGCTGCACCTTTTGTGAGGTGTTGCGATTCGTTTCGGAAGTTCGTGACGAGGACCACAGTGCGGCCATCCTGAAGTTCAGCAACTCCTCTTGCGACGCCTATTCCTCTTCCCAGAAGCAACTGGAGGCTTCCTTCGAGCAGAACTTCGCCGCAGAAATCTTCGGTGATCCCGACGGGTACGAAAACACTCGACCGCGGCGGTAAGTTAACGTGGCTGGCGAGGACTCGGACCGCAGATGACGTCGCTTTGGGTTCCTCCGGTGGTGAAACAGGCTTTCGCAGCGTCAACCGGTTTGCTCCGAGGTCGATGACGGCGCCATACTCGCAGAGGAAGTCCATTCCGAGGATAACGTCCCTCGAACAGTCTTGCAGAACGACGAACTTTACAGGGCACGTCTCACCGTGTATCTCGACGCGAGCGGTGCATCGCCCGATTGGTGTGATGAGGTGCCCACCGGCGGTTCGTATTTGAGGTCCATCCCACGGCGTCGTGACTTTTCGAAGGCGGCGGGAGAGCCTCCCACTCAAAACTGAGTAGTCTGCTCCGGTGTCCACGAGTGCCGATGCGTCGTGGCCGTCGATGATGACGTTTAGGTTGTTGAAAACCGTTTCAGGAGCGTCGTTTCGGTCTCCGGTAGCGTTCGAGTGGGGGCCCTCCGACGTTCGTGGAGGATCTTGGCGTCGGTCGTCTTCGGCAACTCCACCTCCAGGGGTTGCCGCGCCTAGTTTCCCCGGCGTGGAGCAAGGGGCGACAGGCTTCCACGTCGGGGTCGGTGCATCGGCGAAGCTGGACGTCGTGGTGAAGGCGATCGGAACTCTCGGCGGGACGCAGGCTCGGGGGACTGGGGTCGTCGCAAGAACTCGTCGATCTCCCGAGGGCGTTCACCATACCTGGGACGCGGGTCGCTTGGGCCCGGACCCTCCGGCGCTGCAGCGCCGGCAGCACAGGAGCTCGTTTCAGCGCTCACCCTCGCCCTTCGGGCTGCCTTCCCGGACCCGCCAGCCCGACGTGCTCGTGTCACCCAGATGGCGCAGCCCATCCCCGACGCCACGACTGACGATGATGAGGAGGACCTCATCTTCCATGGCTACCCCTCAAGCCAGGATCCAGTCGGACGCTACCGCGCCCGCATCCCCGATGACTCCGATCATAGCTCAAATAGCAG